AGCTAGGCTGCTGACAAAAGTTACAGATTTTGTGTAAGGCATCCAGGTTTTTCAGAATTTAATGGAAAAGATTATTTAAAATGTAAGCATTCTGAGTAGCCTAACAGTATAATAGAAATGCATAAGATAAAGCAGAACCTTGCATACACTTCTCGGAACCTACTATACCTCTCCATAATAAACTTTATTTGATTGTATTGGTCTGCTTCATGTTAGGCATATCAGGACCATACAAAATCCTGCTCCTAGCTATTTTTAGCTTCTCTTCAGGATTACATGTTGTTAGATTAGTTTATTCACTAAAACACCCAGTCACGCTAACTCTGCTGTAATGCAAGTTCTGTCGCAATGTCGAGGGATAACATTTTTATCTCTCTGAAATCATAAATACAAAAAGGAAAATGATATCCCATTTAGTGTTGGACAAGGCTTAAAACTTTAATTGAAAAAAGAAATTTACAGTACTTACTCTAGAATCAATTTCTTCTCCAGCTCTACTAAACTGGCTGCCAACTTAAAAGATTCGTCCTCTCATCCTGTGGTATAGTCTTCACTCAGAAATTTCTTGGTCAGCAACTACTAAAATTCTCCAGTTTTTGATTCCTTAACACCAGAAGTGTTTATCATTGTTCAGCACATATTGACCTACCTAAGAAAATGGTTTATAATAATCTATTCATGGGGAGCACCTCCTCTATAAATAATCACTACATTTCTTTCTTTTACTCACTCGAAAAATAGAATCATAGAATCATAGAATCATTAAGGTTGGAAAAGACCTCAAGGATCAAGTCCAACCGTAAACCCAACACCACCTAACTCACTAAACCATGTCCCTAAGCACCACATCCACACATTTCTTGAACACCTCCAGGGATGGTGGCTCCACTACTTCCCTGGGCAGCCTGTTCCAGTGGCTGATTACTCTTTCCGTGAAGAGATTTTTTCTAATATCTAGCCTAAACCTCCCCTGGCACCACTTGAGGCTGTTTCCTCTTGTCCTATCACTTGTTACTTTAGAGAAGAGGCCAGCACCCACCTCTCTACAACCTCTGTTTAGGTAGCTGTAGAGAGTGATAAAGTCTCCTCTCAGGCTTCTCTTCTCTAGACTAAACAATCCCAGAAAAATCCACATTAGTAACAGTAGAGACAATAAAATAGAGGAGACCTTAAATTCCTTTGCCTTTAGAGCAAATCTGCCATATAACATGTTTGAAATCATATGTTCTCTAATATCCCAGATTCAGTCAATTCCAAACCCTACAATAAAGATATTCTGAGTCTCATTGGGAACGAGACGTCTTGTAGAAATTATCATATAGCATACCAGATGGCATCTTTCTTGCAGACATCACTTCAATGTGCTTTTTCTATTGCCTTAGAGAAGAACAAACCAAGTATTGCTATCCCTCTAAGAGACTTATGTGTCAGTTTTCCCATGCAGGAATGGGTACATCTTTTTTGATTGTGGTATTACAGAAGGTTTATCATGGGATTTATGTTCCTTGAAATCAGAGGAAAGCATGGTAGTATGTAAATGTGTTGCAGGTGAGACCATCTGATACAGGCTGTATGACATTTTTCAATATCGGCACCAGCTTTAGTCATAGGCAAAGTAGGCACTGCCTGCAGCAGCACACTGGTGGGGCTAACATTGCATCATAGACTAGCAAAATGAAGATATAGCCTTCTAGTCCCAAAGCAATAGCACCTGCTCCAGGTGCCACCTGCACTGGCTCAGAAAAACTGTCCAAGCAGCCCCCTAAGTCACCTGGACTAGCAAAGAACAAGATCTAAAGAGCTGCAAGTCCCCATAACAAAAGACTTGACCCTAATCCCCACATTCTTGGCTCTGCTCTGTGCCTTTCTTTGCCTTTACTTTACTACTGCCTTTGGTGGAAGAAGGAGGGGAAAAAAAAGTCTTTCAGATAAGAGGATACTATAGCAATGAGACGATAGTAAGGGATGAGGACAAGGCAGCAAGCTGACTCTGTTTCTCCTCACTTTCTTTCCTTTCGTGAGCAACCTTATGTTGTGTTGATGGGCTCAGTCATGTAGTTACACTGGCAGGGGACAGAGTTGGAGGAGAGTGCGCAGTGGGACCAGCAGTGCTATAATCATCCAGTGCTGAGGCCATGGAGATAGTTAGACATAGTACCAACAGCTACATGAGGAAGTGTGTCTGAGGAGCCACTCAGACACTGAATTTTGCCTACACTGTTGCTAGGCATTGAGCCAAGAACTTCCCATCACTGGCAGCATAACTTCCATGCTGTTTATAGTAAGATAAAGAAAAAGCAGTTTGACAATGAAACTGGTATATTGATTATTGTCTGTGCCTTATTGTGGGCAGAACATTTTTGTTGGTGGGGGACACGAGATGCAGACACATTTGTATCTATGCATGTATGGGAAATACAGGAGTCAATCATGCATGATCCTTTCAAAGAGTGGGATTATGCTTTGCTAGGTCTCTTTCCAATATCAGTTTTTCTGCTTATGGGGGAAAGGGGAAGACAAAGTCAGGAATCTTTTGCAAAGGAATTAATGATTTCTCAATCAACTAAGAAAAATTCAGGAAGGATTTAATTCTCATCTTTATAAAGATAATTTTGTTCTCCATTTGTTGTCTGAAGAACAAAGCATTTCAAATTTGCTTACCCAAGGGAAATCCACTGTATTTCAACTCAACGTAGCCTGCCCTCCTCCTTATAGCCTTGCTACTGCCTGGGCACAACCCTGAAGGGATTATGCTCCATTTATGTAAAAAGATGTTGATTCACATTAGAAAAAAACTCTGCAAAATAAGGAAGATTTACAGACAGGTGTAAACAAATGCATTTGTACCTCCATGAGACCTAGATTTCTATCAATTTGGTGTATCTATTTTCTCTGAGAAAAATGAATTATCTGTCAATCTGTCTAATTGAAGTACATTTAGATATGTATGCACACTGTCATCTTACCAAAAACGTACGCTCTGTGTTGCACATATTCACATATTATTGCTACTAAATATTCGAGAAAACTCCTAAAAGCTTCTTCAGCAATTGGAGATTTATCATTACATGCCTTCAGTATTTTTTGGAGAGACATAGTGAACCTTTCATACTTCAGGTAGTAATGTGTCAAATCAGTAAAAAGATCTGGACTAATGTAAAAATATCGTAACAGACCTGTCTTAGGCAACTTTCCAACCTCTTGAAAGATCTTCTATGGCTCAACTAAAATTATTCTGCAAAATCATTATGGACTTCGGTTTTCATGAGATGTTCCGCAAATTGAAGCAGCAATATCAGAGTGAAAGGTCATCCAGTTTTAGTCCAAGGTCTAGTAAGGCTGGAATTGAAACTCTTACAATATTGTTAATTTTAAATATCTGACTAAGTTTAGAGTCTGTTCTGTGACTGCTCAGGTAGCCTCTGCATGTCACCTGGAGAGACTTTGTATTATAACATGTCAGTCAGACTGTAGGTTTGGATTTCTGTGAAACAGTTTTCTGACATAGTATCATCAATCCCAAATGATGCTCTTGATAGATATCTGTAATTTCTTTATGCCTGGAATCAAATTCCTCCTTAGAGATGGTCATTGTTTGAGATTCACAATGGACAAGAAAAACAAAGAAAAGTAAGTCATGTGTTCAATAAATGAAGTTCTACTGGACAGGAATCTTCGTAGAATTGTACCCTGAATATACCCATTTTCTGCCTTTTTTGCTAAGTCCTTTGATACTGTTATGAAAAGCTAAAGTTTAGTAAACATTCCTCTCAGAACAAAGGTGTGAAATATTTCCGTCTTGAGAGAAACTGTCTCAAAAATGGAACACTGATGGAAAATACATCATGAGGTACTTACTCTCTTGTGCAGAAAATGAACTTTGCTTTCATTTTAAATTCATCATCTTGTATTCAATTTTTTCCAGTTATAGTTGATAAAATATACATCCTCTCCAGAAATCATGCAAATCTGATATGTCTACTTGCTATCATTCGCATTTTTGTAAGAAAAGGATATACATTTATTTAGTAAAAATACTCTTTTAATTATTCATTTGAAGTGGTGACCTTTTCAAGTTGAATTTTTATATGTTGCCATGAAGGTTTTCTTATGTCTTATAATATTTTACGGCTGAAGAAATCATGCAGATAATCTAATTACTTTGACTAAAATTGTTGTGCTGTTTATGTCTTTTGCTGTACTACGGGAGAGAAACGGAGAAATGTATTCATTATCAATGCATTAAAGGGTTTTGCTATTATATAAGCAGAGATGCAGACCACTACATATCTTGTATGAAAAAAGGAAAGGGGAAGGCATAGTAAACCATGCCATAAGCTATGGTTTATGTATTGCATTTCTTAATGTCTTGTGAAACGTAAAAATCTACAACAAATAGATATGTAAAGCGTAACTGGTATGAAGATTCTATTCAGATTTAAGTGCTCTAGGTTGCTTTTGAATCTTGCTATTTTCTGCATTTGTTTTGACTGCTCTCATCATTCAAGATTGACGCTTGGATGGGTGTGTAGGAGGAAGCAGCAGCAGCAGGCTTACAGCTTGCAGACAAAAAAAAAAATCTGCCTTATCTGATGGCTATTATTGAAAATGCGAGGTGTAGCCTAGGCTGGGTAATGAAGGGGAGAGAGCGAGAGGGAGCAAGAAGCATGGAGCTGCATACTGATTAGTGTAGGAGTACTTGATAAAAAGAATTCTTGCTGCTGGCGGTGCATTGCTCATTGTGGAGTATTCCAACAATCTCATATAACGGAGAACAGCTTAGCTGACAGCTTGATATGCTTTTTTTTTTTTTTTTCCCCTACTGTATGACGTACTGGTCTGTAGTAAAGATTAATAACTAAGAAATGTAGAGCGAGGATCAGATCTTAAGCTATATACTGCCCTGTAAACTATGTTTTACTTCTGACTTTTCTGCTTGCTGAAAACATTAATCTATCAAGCTGGCGGGCTCTTTTGATACCAACTTTCCCAGGAACACAATGTGGCAATGCCACCTCTCAGCCCAGGACTACCGCTATTATCCAGTGGATGGGTATTCATTGCTTAAACGCCTCCCTCTTCACCCTCCTACAGGACCTCGATGCCCTGTCCAGACAGTGGGACAATGGTTGGAAAATATTGGGCTACCTCAGTATGAAAACCACTTGCTGGCTAATGGATTTGACAATGTGCAATTTATGGTAAGAAATCTTCCGTGCATAGCCGTGTGTATACACTGTAGCTGCCTTTTTTGTCTGTCTCTTATGTGCTCCTAAAAACCTTAGAGCTATTTTGCATTGCACTAAGATCTGTTTAGTGTTTCACTTTTCTATGTCTAGCTAAATTAATATATGCTGTCCTTGTATAAACTTCCAAACTGTACACGTTACAAAATATTCTATCCAGAAATATAGTGAAAGAAAAACTGAATATTAAGGTTGTCTCTCCCCCTTATGAATCTTCAGATTAAAAAAGAAAAATGCACAGTTCTAATCCATTGCAGGATTTTCACAGTATGTAAAAGCTGTAAACTCCCCTATCGGCAATACATCATGTTATTACCTTTATTTAAACATTAAAATCATTGTAATAATAATTAAATAACATGCAACACCATTCTTGCATTGAGAGGTATTTCAGTACCAGAAAATTATTTAATGAAATGTGCTCTCTCTGCAAGTGATTCTGGATGCCTCAGTTAAATGTTTTTGCATCTTAAATAGTCAGGCTATGGGATTCACTTGTTGAAACTTGTGCCCTGTGTGGAAAAGTAATGCATTTCTTTTAATAGTTCCATTTTCATGTTTTAACTCTAGGCATTTGTCAGGAACATATGAATGAAATAAAGTTTTATGTACTTCAGAATTTACAGTATTACCATGTGATGTAAAGTAACATAGACCTGTCAGACAGTAAAGAGAGAAGCTTACTTGTAAGGTTGTTATATAACGACTTTTCTACCTGCTTCAGTATTCCCATTACTTCTTGCAAAAATCCTGACCACATTTCTTATAAAGTATCAGAGCTTAAAATATTAATCACCCCCTTTTAAAGATATTTTTAGTAACCGGGTATATCTTGGAACAGTTCTAACTTTTCCTAACTTACACTTGACATATAAGAAACAGAAGTGAAACAGCATGAATATTATGACTATAAAATCATCACGAGTTGCGTTTTTCCTATTTATTTTGCCAACAGCATTATAAGCCTATGGGTTACTGATCAGAAAAAAAAAAAGGCACAGATCTCTGCCATTTCCACATTATAGTTATGTAGAGGTTTCTTACTGCTTTTACATGGCTGCCATGTGATCTTTTGCTTATATCAGTAAAAGTCATTAGAATTGTACCTTTAAATGTTCTTGAAAACAAAGCTGAGTGTGCTCTCAGCCCAGCAATGTAAAAAAAAAAAAAAAAAAAAAAATCCAAAATGTATTTCCAGCTACAGTTTCCCAAAGTGTAACCACATATTCTTATATATGTCGTAGTGTTAGTTACATAAGTAGATGATAATTTAGTCTTAAAGAGATTACAGAGGGAAATTGCTCACAAGAGGCAGTAGGTGGCATAACAAATGCAGAGGGGACACCTACCACAGGTAAATGATGAGCACCTGAGAAGGTGAAGAAACTACCCCAGAGGGCTTTCCAGACGTCCCCTGGCTCTGGAGGGGCCTGAACCATGTTCTGGGAGAATTTATAAGAGTTTAATTTCCTACATCTCTTATTAATATACTTAGGTAAACATACAAATTATTTAGGAGATTCTATTATTCAAGAGGCGATTCAAACTTTTCAGGTTATCAGGCAGATTAAGTTATGCCTGCATACTTGTGTGTTAGCTAATGTTTTCCAGTCATTTTAATTTAAACCTTTTCTGAAGTGGTTTTTTTTAAGTATATATCGTAGGTAAAATACATAGTTAATATTAGTTAGGGTAGTATGCATATGTGAATGGAAGATTAGACCCTTAAATCCAATGATAAGCAAAAAGCTGGAAAATTGACTAGTAATTAAAAATTTATAATTTCAGTAATTTAATAATTCCTAATTTATTGATTTCACACTGTTCATCATTCTTTTACATATTTCAGTTTTTATTTGTACCAGAAATTGAATAGTTCCCTTATTTTATTGGAAATAAAAATTATTAGAAAACTCCAATTTCTTTATATATTATTCATTTCAATATATCAGCATTACATAAGGAAAGCCTTTCCTGAAAATGTAAATGGGTATTTTAAAAAATTTTTTCTATTCTAGACAAAATATTAAAGATAAAATTAAACTTGGAAAGTACATAGGAAAATGAGAGAAGCCTGCTATGCTAAAAGAAGAATTGAGATTACTCCAAACTTAAATGTGTTGTAGTCTTCCTTAATATGAGAGAATTGCTTTACCTTTATTACAGTGGTTTGCATATAAAGCTATATTTTACAAGCATATTAAATTGTTTGAGATAGGTTAGCTACTTTACATTGAACAACTCTAACACTTCAGTGCAGTAAAAATCAGTTAGACATATTCATTTTTTTTTCCGTACCATATTCCTGCTTTTGTTTTTCTGGAAGCACATTCTGACCCGCATTTATTCATTCTGTTGCCTAAGCAACAACCATCACACTCCTATTAAGTATGATTTAGTAGTACAGGTCTTACTAGATGTTCAGAACAGGAGAGGGGATATCACAATGGTGTAATTAATGTCCATGGAATAACACACAGCTGAGAACAAATATATCCTATTTATACTGCTCTCAACAGCAAAATTCTATTAATTAAATTAGCATTCTAATAAAAAACTGCTTTTCAGATAAAAAGATTTCACAGTTAATCATTCATTAGATCATAGAAATTAACTCCTTGTGTTTAGCTTGGGCATTAGGAAAGTTATTGGCTAGACTATGCTTAGAACAAGATTTGTGTATGTTACCTGAAGTGTGTGGACTTTACAGTAAGAAACAGCCTGTTTCCTATTAACTTTACAGTATGCATATTTTTTCCATAGTTCCTCAATATATATGTTTTTAAAATAGGTTGAAACATAGTATTACAAAATTTGTTGTTTTTTCATGAACTATTTTATATCTACTTACAGCGTATTTGCACACGTAGCAAGTGCAATTCCTACCTACTATTAGTGTCATGCAGGAATGACACTTGCATAATATTTAGTAGGCCCAAGGCAGATTCAGTCCCAAGACTTGGTTCATGTGTGCTTGTAGTAGAGTCATACTTGAATACATACATATATATATGCAGTCATTATTAACTTTGATAATCTGTTGTGTCAGGCTACAGTCTCCTTCAGATTTAAAAATTTATAGTGACTTTATGCAGAGATACTCCATATTTGAAGATGTAGATGATACTACAGCTTCATAAAGCAAAAGCTAGCTTGCAGTTAAATTAATTCTAAAGTGCAAGAAAACAATTAGATCAGTTGCAAACTGCAGTAGATAAATTAGATATAAGCAATAAGGAAGCCTAATGAATCCTTGAACACTTTTTGATGCATAGGTCCCACAGATATCACTGGGACAAGCTGTAATCTTTATGCAGACTTGCAGGTCTACATGATTCAGTATACTGAGAAAAAAACTTAAAATTGCAGAGAAAAAGATGAAAATATACAAATGTGCGAGGTCACTTGATCCTTGCATGCAGCTTTCTACAACTCTGGAGCTTCATCAAAGACTCCATTCTGGATTCACAGAGATAAAAGCAGTTCAATCAAATCACTGCCCAGTGGGGACTAGTTCTGATTAGGAACTGCATATGACTATCTATTTATAGGTTGTTCTAATCGTTTAAGATATTCTGAAATTTTATCACTTGCTTAATATTGCAATTCAATGAAGATAGTATCTCTTAAAAAGATTTATGAAACACTATATGAGAGAAACAGGGATCAGGCAAACAAAATGAGTTAACAGAAAAATAGGAAGCATTATATTTTTGATATTCCAAAAAATTGTTCACCAGCAACAGTTAATAACCTGAATTGGCATTAGACACTAGAGTTTCATTGCTGCTGTGAACTTACAGACATGCACCTCTATCTCTTCAAGTACTTAAATGGCTTGCATTGCCTGAGGATCTAAGTATTTTTTTAAATTGTCTCTTTTTCACCGTTGGGAAACTGAGGCATAGAGTGACTGCAGGGTGTAATTTAAAACTGCTTATACTTTTGAGATAAAAAGCACTAGTTCTTAAAATAGCTACTAACATGTTTAACAGATGGGTTCAGTTGCTTAAATGTAGGTATCTAGTACCAGCTGAGGTACTGTGGGGAATCCAGGAGATCCAGACCATGTTGACAGATATGACTGAGTACCAGAGACAGCCAGACCCTTCATAATTAGTAGCTGGAGTACCACTGAGCATCTCAGATGGCTCTAGAGTCCTGAGGCTTATGCAGCTGAAATGTATCTTAAATGTTGTAGGTCACACAGAGCTTGTGACATTACTAGGAACTGAATATAGATGTTCTGAGTTTGCACCTAGTATCTGTTGCATATGCATTTATTTTCCTTCTAATAATTTTCTGTATTTGTATTCAGCCTGTGAACTTACCTGCACAGGTGATTTGCCTGGTTTCACAGTGCTAGGCATGGACTACCTTCTCAATTCCCCTCAAGGTGCCTGTTTTGGATTTAGTTTTGAGTTGAATTTTGATTATTTTTTTCTCCCATCCTCCCTCTCTTCCTTTCTTCCTTTCTTCCTTTCTTCCTTTCTTCCATTCTTATTTCCTTCTTTCCTTCTTTCTTTCCTTCTCTCTTCTCTTCTCTTCTCTTCTCTTCTCTTCTCTTCTCTTCTCTTTTTTCTTCTTCTTTTCTTTTCTTTTCTTTTCTTTTCTTTACTTTTCTTTTCTTTCATTTTTTACTAGGTCTGGAGGTTTATTAGTCAGCTGAAATTTATCTGGAGACTACTCTCTCTCAGGTATCATGCCTGGGATTTGCTGTCCTGGAATACCCAGTAATTCTTCTTGCCTTTAATCTCTCAGGAGGATCTTAAACTTTCTATCAAGTGTAAAGGACAGAAGGAATTTTATTTCTTCAGAGTGAAATGCACCTGAAAGAATTTTCTATGTATATGGTCTCCAGGTCCTGCACTTGTAGAAACCACCACAGCTTTTATCCAAAAATACCTGGTGCAGAGATTTATGATTTGGGCATTAGATGAAAGCTTGAAAGAGTG